CATTCGAACGATGTCCACATGCGGCGCGTAAGGCCCGTATGGCCGGAATGCATGAGCATGGTGAACACCAATGTTTGGTTTTTGAAAATTCGCAGGAGCGCCGATTTTTGCAAACAACACAAAACAAATGTTGTTGTGAAAGCGCGTCTTGTGACAACATGCGCGCACGGGTCCTCGAACGATTCCAACATGCGCGCGCGAGGGGCCCATTTGGTAGAATTCGCCGGCCCAACGGGCCAGAGGCGTGCTAAGATCTCCGGTAACTTGTTAACAATATTTCTAGTTCGCGCGCGCGGAGCGGCCCCTGGGGGCCCCCGGACGAAAAGTACCCCGGCAAGGTCCGGAGAGAAGCCCGGGAGAAGCCACCAGACCACTCCAGGGGAGGGTATTTTTCGACACCCCTCACGAGGATCGTGGCCTCCGAGGGGGGAGCCGCAATCGACTACCCCCAAGAGCCCCCCAAGAGGCCCTGGGGGCCTCCAAAACGCCGCCAAGGAGCCCCAAGAGACTCCCAAGAGGTCCCCAAGAGGGCCCCAAGAGGCCCTAAAGAGGGCTCCAGGGCCGGCGGCATGAGCGAAGCGATTAAATAACATGAAAATTTTGAAAGCCCTGGATTATCTTGAGAATTCGCAAGAGCGCGAACACATTTGGTTTGACAATTCTTGTTGTAACAACCATGTGATTGTATATATGTTTTCTGGGCGCTCGTTTCTGAAATCCTTGCGACAACCCGAATTGTTTCAAACATTTCGGCATGCGCGCGCGACGACGCGAGCGTGTGCACTTCGTTTTTCTGTTGTTTGCAAGGGGCTTTTGAACAATTATGCTTGTTGATAACCGAGTGCGTGCGCATAATATTTTTCGTTGAGGGTGGAGGGCGAACTCCGGTTGGGCTGGGATGGTACGAATTCAGATTTAGGGTGGACGGTGGGGCAGACTCACCTGCAAACTGCAGTACGAAAAGGTGTACAATTAACCCTGGGGGGGGGGAGCCTAATACCCTCTTAGAAAGGAGAACCGGCGCTGTCCAATCTAGGGCGGCGACATGGCGGCGACGGCGACCATGGAGCCGCCAGACCAGCACCCAGGCTTAGGCGACAGGCGGCGACGAGGCGGCGACGGCGACGATGTAGCCGCCAGACCGCTAGACAGGCCCAGACGACGGGCGGCGACGAGGCGGCGACGGGGCGGCGACGGCGTCG